CGACGTTTCGTTCATCATCAAAACTTTGGCCTTTATTGAAAACGAAACTACGTTTCTTTTCTCTTAACGAACTTTTTCCTTTCCACCAAATTGTATCTCCAAATTGTCGTCTTCATTAATTGACTTTGCGAAGTCGAAGATAACTTATTGTACTTTGAAGAACAAAGATAACTTCGGACGAAGAAAAATAATTAATTGGATTGAAAAGTCCAAAGTAATCGAGTTTTATTAAACGAATTTATTTGCTTTTCTTTTCTCACAATCCAATTATGTGATAAAATATTCGCGATGTCTTGTTGTTCCTGTTGTCAAATAAAAATATATATTCAAGAATTTGATTACAATCATTATCAAAATTTTTTTACTCTTACGAATCTTACTTATGATTTATTTTTCATTCGAATAAAAAAATCTCTCTCTTTCTCTCTTTCTCTTTAATTAAATTCATCGTCGAGATGTTCAAATTTATCATTAAATTTATTTAATTTCGTAACGAATTTAAACAAATGACTTCATTTGCAATGACCAACTTTCCTATAGGGAAGATGAAAACAAACGGAGCTTGAAGATAACGTCGAGGAGGAAGTGAAGCCTCCGTTTGTGGTCCAAGCGAGAAGGCGGGCATTATGTCAGTCGTCGCGAGGCGTCTTGGGTGAGGCTCGCTTATATCCACCGATTTGCGAGACGTCGGGGAGAAAATTGAATCTGTTCTGCGAAGAAACAAACAGCTGGAAGAGCCGCTGCTTGATTTAATGTGGCCGTCCGTCACGGTGCAACGTAACTTTAGTTTCTACGTTGAGAGAAAGAAAGAAAGAAAGAGAGAGAGACAGTAAGAGAAAAGGAAAGAAAAAGTTTTACATTTTGATTTCGTTCTCTCTCTCTCTCTCTCTCTTTTCTTTCTTTCTCTCTCTTTCTCTCTCTCTCTTTCTCTTTCACAAACTCTTAACACAATCTCCCGGACTATCGACTTCGATTTAAATCCACGGAACAAACCTTTCTCTTCGAATTCGTTCCCCACACATATGATCGATTCATTTTCATGTGCAGCGAGTCGCGATCTCATGGTTGAGAAATCACGTTCATAGTACGTATATCTTTTTCTTCTTCATTATAGCAAAGAGAACGATGCGGGTGAGTTCTCGTTAAATCCGCAAAGTAAAGAAAAAAAACGTACGACTCGTTATGGAAAGAAAAAAAATTAAAAAAAAAAGAAAGAGAAAAAAAAAAAGAAAAAAAGAAAAGATAGAAAGAAAATCATTATCGATGAAATCATTTCCGTTCGAAGGGAGACTCGAAGGGGGATAGAAAAAAAAGGGGGGGGGAAAGATAGTTGATAGAGAGATAGAGAAAGAAAGAGAGAGAGAGAGAGAGAGAGAGAGAGAGAGAGAGAGAGAGAACAAGAGATGGAAAATCTCTGGCAAGTTGGAATAATTGATGGGAATAAAAAAAAAAACAAAAAAAAAAGTAAAAAAGGAAAAAAAGGAAAAGCAGAAGAGGAAGAAAAAGTAGGAACGCGATAAATCAGCGGATTCGTTAGCGGGATCTTCCTGAATCCATTTGTCCCAGAGCTCGTGTCAGAGCAGATCCCGCTGTTTCGACAAGACGGTGTCGTGTTCGAACGGGTGACCTCATGCTGCTGTTGCTTGCCTGGCTGCTGCCTTCTTCTTCTCCTTCTTCTTCTACTTCTTCTTCTCCTTCTTATTCTCCTTCATCTTCTCTTTCTTCTTCTTTTTCTTCTTCTTTTCCTGTTCGATTCCAACCAAGAGAACACGTGGGTTCCTCGTGCGAAGTGAAACCGAGTTAAAAGAGGAGGATGAAAGAGAAAGAGAGAGAGAGAGAGAGAGAGAGAGAGAGAGAGAAAGAGAAAGATGAAGAGAAGGAGAGAGAAAGGAGATGAGGGAGAGGGGAAATGTAGAGGGAACGCATCTGCACGCTTCATTGAACATTCCACGCGCGAAACATTGTGCAAGCTTGGCCCTCTCTCACCCTTCTCTCTCTCTCTCTATCTATCTATCTATCTATCTATCTATCTCTTTCTCTCTCTTACCTCTTCGAAAAGCATCGTGCGAGCTCTCGTCGTCGTCCTCGTCGTCGTATTTATGGATGCGATTCCGAAAGGCAAACTACACGAGGCCCGTGGCGGGACACGGTAAACAATATTCTCCTTTAATAAATCAAACGATCTCGCACGATCCACGAGTATATAGGTGTAGGTAATGTATATTCCTTGAATTATTCGCGATATCGCGCTGGCTCGTTTCTGATATCTCACTTCTTTCCTTTTGATTTTCTCCACGATGATTTCTTCGATCGGTTGCGGATCGTTAAATTTCTCATTTCCTTTCGAAGATCCATATATATGTATATATATATATATATATATATATATATATATATATATATATTTTCTTTTTTTATTATATCATACTTTTATAAACGTTGTTTATGATTTGTTGGCATTTTAATTAAATTGTATGGTATCTTAATACATTTTGTAGATACCTATGATCGAAAGAAAAGATAAAAAAAGAAAAAAAAAAGAAGACAAAGAAAGACACGTTTAATTATATTATATTTCGAATAAGAAAATTTTTATCCTTTCATCGAATAAAAATGATCTCTATAAAATATCGTATCTGATTTTCTTTTTTTTTTTTTTTTTTTTTTTTTTTAAACAGAAATTGAACCATTCAATGTTATGTTTTATATTAATGTTAAATCAAATGTTAATAATACGTGGAGTTTTTAATCATTAGAAGAATTTAATTCTTTTTCTTTCCGTTTGCTTCTTTTTCTTTTTTTTTTTTCTTTTTTTGTTTTTTTTTTTTTTTTGCTCTCGCCAGTCTTGGATTTTCGAGGGATCCATTCCGAAACGAATCAGGATCAGGGATTTACCATCCTGGAGAGATATATCTGTATCAATATAAATATCTTTCGCAAAAGATACTTTCGTAATCGTTCCACACAAGACGAATCGTGCCGGTCGGGTTCCTTTGATGCGTGGGCGTGGGCCACGCAAATCGAATCGGAGCTCGCGTCTCATCATCGCGTTCCGTTCAAATCAACGGTTATCCTCCTTCACCCGAAGCAAGCATGTACACACTTTCTCCCTCTCTCTGTCTCTCTCTCTCTGTCTCTTTCTCTCTCTCTCTCTCTCTCTCTCTCTGATTATAATTTATGTAGATACATATATATGTATGCATATACTTATACCATTGGACCTTTCAAGAATTTATTTTTTTTATTACATGACGAAATCGACCTTAACGAGGAAAAAAAAGTTCGGTATTTGACCTTTCGAATTTTCATTTTCTAAATAATCAAATTTCTACGTCATTATTATTTTAATATATATATATATATATATATATATATATATATATATATATATATCCGTGTACTTATGCAATTTATATAACTCTTGAAACTTACGAGAATTAATTTTTTTATCATACTATAATCGTCTTTGATAAAACGAAAAATGAAAAGAAATGTGGCTCTGGTAGTTTGGGATTGTCATCATCTATGAATATCTATACCAAATAATAATGAAATTTTCTGGTAAACCAAATTTCTCAAGCCCCGGTTTCCTATCGATAGATTCGGAAGGTACATAAGTACGAAAAGAGAACATTATATACACGTCACGTAGGGTCGCGTAGATAGGGTGTTTCATCGTCGACACGCCACGGGCATGTTTTCTCAGCTGGTGCCCTAACTCTCCGGCGATCATTCCGCGTTGCTCTCACTCTCTTTCTTTCTCCCACACGCACCAGATCCTTTCAGGACACGGTCGGCTACCCACAAAGGATTTCGCCTTTCATACGCACGTTATTATACTCTTTACACAATATCGTTCCACCTCCAACCCCGAAAAAAAGACTTCGTGAAGAGGCGAACACAGAGAAGACACTTATACATAGAGAAATACTACTCATACATTTACACCACCCACGCTAACGCATCTTCTTACGAACTCCTTGTAAGTGGAATTTACGGTTGTGTGTTGGTACTACAACGAGTATATAGTGTTCGAGGCCACGTTGTTACACGACGAAAGCTTCGAGAGATTTTCTACCTTTAATTTGTTGTTATAGCTGCTTGAGACGTGTCTGTGTGCTTCGGCTCGTTCAAACCTCAGCGGATCGTCAAACATTCATTATGTTTTTCCGTAACACGTTCAACGTAAGGATTTCGCCAGCCAAGATCGAAATGCCCGAAGGGTTTGAAACGGCGTTAGACATTCCTTTTGATTCCTCGATTTTGTGTTTACCTCAAATCCTTTACTCATGATATTAAACCTAAACGACGAGAGAGAGAGCCTGAAACATATTGTCGGAAAGAAATTGTTTTGTCGTTGTCTAATAGTACGTGATGAAAAGTAATAGCTAGATAATAAAAGAACAAAAAAAAAAAATAATTATTTGTCAATGTATATTTGATTTTTATTTTGTTATTAGCGTATATTTTATCATCGAATATTTTTTCTTTCTTTTTTTTTGTTCTTTTGTTTTTTCTTTTTTTTTTTTTTAATAAAACACGGTATACAGAATACATTAAAGCATTGTATTAATAATTATTTTCAATAGTACGAAGAAATTGACATTAATACAGAACGACAAAAGGTATAAACGTACAATTTAATATCGATCGATTTACTATATTTAGAAAACGCTATTATAATGCTTCATTGATGATTGTTTACGTAGGTAAACGTTGCTACTTTCGATCTACTTTCCTAAATCCCTAAGATACGCTCGTAGATTAGATCGATGACTTGGAAAACTTAATAGAGCGTTTAGACGGATATCTTCTGTCTGATTTGAGCGATTGATGCGTTCATTGGCATGAAAAAGAGATGTACTTTTGGATTCGTCGAGTATATGTCTCTTAACAAACATAATAGAATCTATTATCTTCCATTTATATTATTTCGACGGTACGAAAGAATTTTTTTTTCCCATCATTTTTCTTATTATTAATCTAATGAAAGTTCAAATTCATTCAATATTATCGGTGAATGTAGTTAAAAATGCGTGTTGTGCTTCTCTCGAAGGAAAAACAGGACCCATGCATTCCAAAAAGAATTCTCCTCTTTCTTTAACTGCCGTTCGAAAATCATTTTCAGAAACGAATCCGTCGCGATCTACGTCGAGTTTCTTGATCATTAATTCTATCAAATCCTATAGAAGAAATATATAAAAATTATGCAGCTTTTTTGATAATATAGAAAAATTGAAATATTAACCTTTACTCCATCATCTGGATCTTCGTCGGGTAAATGAGCTATCAAGCATCCTCTCATCATTGGAAACATTTGTTCCTTTCTTAATCTATTTGTTTTTAATAAATCGTAGACCTGTTGAAATTTATATTAATTTACAAATTAATAGATATTTTGTATAAAAATAATAATAACTATACCTTATAAGCAAAGTTTATTCTTTCGTCCAAAGTTCCACGAAGGATAATAGAGAGAGCTTCGATCCAATGATCCATACGTATCTAAAAAAATTAATTATCATCAATAAATTTATATCATATTATATTATATATTATATATATATATATGATTATTATCTCACTTGAAGAGAATTCGTTTTATCGATAACGGCAAATAATCTGTCTATATGTTGATGACGTTTATTTTCGGTAAAATCGAATCCAGAATGAAATATGTCGCGTAAAATTGAACGATTTATTGGACCGCAAGTTCGTAAAATTTTTCGATGTATCACACCCAGAGCTGTGAGAAAATAATCGTTAATAAATTTTAAATTCAAAATGTTTGTCGTTTAATATTGTAGAATTAATATTTACTTAACCTTCCACTTCTCTGTACGTGAAATGTGTTCTCTCAGCGATTTTTTTAAAATTATTCTTATTTTTACTTCGAAAAGAGTATTCAATCGATGGAGAATTTAGAGCACAAACAGGAATTTCGGCTGGCATTTTGTATACACTTTTTTTTTTTTTTATTTTTTAAAACTCACGAATAATTTTTCAGCTTGTTCTAAATAAATGTTAACCTAAAATGAACATATCGAATGATCGATTGTTCTCATTCTTTTATTTTCATAGTTATGAATTTTTTGATATGCGAACAAAAATTTTCTTATTTAATGTAAATAAAATATTTAATATAATTAAAGGATCGTGATGTATGAACAAAGAATTGTAAAAAAAAAAAAAAGAAAAAAAAAAAAACAATTTATATCTTTTAATTTCATTTGTGAAAGCTGTTAAAATTTATACATAAACATTCATGGTTTCCTAAAAAAGTAATAAAAAGTGAATAGCCGGTTCTTTTTCGCGTAGCCGTTTCCAGAAAGAGACTAAACTGAAATGTTCAGTATACCGAAGGACGACGATGACTCGTGAACCATAAGTTTCTTAAATTCGTTTCACCCGGGAGCCGTTCGACCAGCATAAAGGATGACTATAAAGTCTCGCCTAAGTATATCTAATGACATCATTTGCTCGGGAAACGTAATAAACAGGCACAAAGACCTCGAGAAGGATTTCGTCGAGAATGTAAAAACGTAGGAACGGCTTAAAGAAGAATCGTTTTCGTTTTCGAAAAAAAGAACGCAAAGTTATGTCTCTTTTTTTCCCCCTTTTTTTTCCTTTTAGATTCTCTGTTTCGTTGTATCCAGAAATGAAATGAATTTAACGGTGTTTGGTAATGTTTGAAGATTTTAGGAAAAAGTGAGAATTACGAACGCTATCAAAATTTCTGCCAAATCGTACAAGGAAGTCCTTTAAAAGTTGTTTCAGTATATCTTCAATTTGATTTCATCGAAATCGAATGAAATTTAAGATCGATCGGATAAAAAAAATGTTAATGCAATTTCTTTTTCTTTCTTTCTTTTTTTTTTTTTTTTTTTTTTTTTCTGAAAAAGAATATCATTCGAAAGAAATTGAATTTTTAATCCTCGAAAATGTTTTATTGTTAGACCAAATTTGATTTGGAGGTCGAAAGGTGGAATAGAAGGTACGGGTTGCAACCTAAGATCCTGTGTCGTACATCAACTTTTAACAAAAGGTGGGCGGACGTCGTGTCAGCCGCTGACGCCCCGCGAAATTGAATCTAAAGGTCCGAGTTGGAGTCACCACCCTCTTTACCCGTTCCTTACCTTATGGGTATCTTCTCTCTGTCTTTATCTTTCTACCAGCCCGCTCCAGGGAGGTCGCAAATCATCACCTCGCTACGTTCGCTACGTTAGATAGCCTAAGATTACAGTCATACTGTGCTCGAGGAAGCTTGGGAAGAGAAGAGAAGAGGAAGAGTTCTGCTTTCCTTTTACTTTCGACCCACGCCGATGATATTTTGTTACGTGCACGGAGAATATTCTTTAGTTATGCAAAAAATTAAATGTCGTCTTTCAAACATCACGACTAAACGATATCAGAAAATATCATTCGTGAATTTTCCTTTCCCTTTTTGCTATCATTCATATTGCCAATACGTAATTTGATTTTCGAGTGATGAAAATTGATGATAAAATAATTCTGTTAAAATTTAATCTAACATATTTGAATATAGGTTCAATAATATTTGCCTAAAAAGATAGTCGAAGGGAGAAATATAATTTGTTTTGATATTAATCGTCGAGGGAGAAAGAATTTTTTTGTGTGTTTTCTTTTTTTCTTTTTTGTTTTGTTTTTTCTTTTATTATAAAAATTGCTGAGTTGTATCAAACGGTATAGTTTTAGTGGTCCTATTCAGAAGGCAATGAGAGGAATGAGTTTGAAGAAAGATTCATATGAGACGGGTGTGTGCCAAGTCCAGACGTTCAAGTCCAGCATCATTTGCAAGCGGCAGCGGTCCATCATAAATTTAACTCGGCTATCACCGGCTGCGATCGTATTTATCTAACGAATAATTATTTCCGATTATCTTGTGCCCGATGAGGGTGCTTCGGCAAACAGAGATGAAAGATATGTCGAGCAGACCGACGTACCGTTTGGCCCTTTGTTTTAACATTGGACCAGCCAAAAGGCAATGCAGCAACGATTTCGATTTTATTTACGACTTTACGGCCGCGGTGGCGCGTGATAATCACCGATGATGGCTGCCGACTATGATGGTGGTGTTGGTGATGGTGGTTCGCGTGGGTGGAATGCTTGAATGTTCAACGTCGTCTTGTTTCAGAGCCTGAGATACTATCGAATTCGATTTCGATATGTAAATTTCCGAATTTCTCATACGTATCATAAATAATGAACTAATAATTTATGATATTGTGTATTGAGATACGCGATTTGAAAAATAATCAGATATATATATATATATATCCACTTCGAATACGTACAATACATTTTAATTCTTTTCACCTATTCGATTTATTCATGATTTCTTTGAATATCGTTAATATATTTCTCACTTCGTAAAATTACTTTTCTTTTTTTTTTTTTTTTTTTTTCTTTATCAATATTTTCTTAAGGATAGAAGCAGCATCGGAACTTGCACATAGAAATCCATTTCCTTTTCCTTTCATATCCCCTCGATAAAATATTTTCATTTAAAGTGAGAATAACGATACTATCCATATCCGTAGTCCTGGAAAATAAATGATAATCAAACATGGTTAGGACTAAGTGACAACTGATTAATCGTTGAAGTCGAGTGAGCAAAGTGTTTCCTCAGACACTTTGAAAAAACACGTTTCAATCTACGCGCTTTCACGTGTAAAATTCATCAGCAAGGGGAACCCCGCTTTGAAATGAATAAAACAACACGGAAGATCTTACAATTTTGGTGATAATTTTCGATCGATCGCTGAAAACCTGTCGATGGAAATTGTCACCCTTAAGCAATGCGAATAAAAGGTTGCGTACTTAGCTCGAGGCAATGATTGCTGTCTCTTTTGGCGACCGGTTTTTGCCTCACAAACATTTTCAACGACGTAGAAGGAGAAATCGTTATGTAACGATACCGAACTGAATCGTATAATATATAGACACGTAAATACGTATGTACATACACATGTACAACAAACGTTGAAATAAGCGAACCGTGAATTGATCCGATCCTTTTGCATTTGAAGCACGTTTAGGATAACTTTGTGTGTAGCTGAACGATCTTATTCGGACCGCATGCAGCGATTTTGTCCAGCAACGTGAAAATCCAGAGAGGGAGAAAAAGATGTAGTAAGCAGATTCTAAAGTATATTTTTTTTCTCTTTTTTTTTTTTTTTTTTTTTTTTTCTTTGCCTCTTTCTTTTCGGAAAATTGAACACGTGACCGGTGGCTCTGAAATTGTCCAATCATCCTTACAACAAAAAGATTATTATTGATCATTTTTTGTTCTTTTCTTTTTTTTTTTTGTTGATGTGCCACATAAATAATAATTTAGTTACTTCAATTAATTCGCAGTAATATTTTTTCATTGATAGATAAAACTTGTAAAAGGATAAATAAACCTTTTTCGGATATTATTTTAGAATTGTTACAATATTAAAATTATACAAATGATTATTTCTTTATTTAGGCAAAAGTTTAGCAAAAATTCGTAATTTATCAAGATCAAATGATAAATCCATTTCAAATGATTTGAAATAAGAAAAGGACGGTTGTATAAACGATAGGCGATTTCCAAGAATATATTTTTATCTCTTAGTAAAACGGCACAGCTTTAATCTTCTTATAAATGAGAGGTTCCAACAAATGGGGTGTTAGGTCGTTCCTATCTTCGAGAGAAGACGACCGTCTATCTCATTCGTCCGTTTGCGCATATGTTGCTCGTCTTGCATGTCGGATATCACCCCTCTATCGACGCGCCATGAAAGACTTGAAAAATCACGTCAGCTTTATCACGAAACGCTTGACGCGCTTTAAACCCCGTGTACCTCTTAAGAGCTCGTGGGCGTTGAAAATCAACGCGTCTCTTCTTCGTTCGAGAGTTTGGTCTCTTCGAAAGCAGAGATAAATCGACCTAAGACGTTAAGAAAAATTTAACTATTATTTTTGGCCTTCTTTGCGGAGAACCATTCGTGATAGAAAAAAATTAGGCGATTAGTTTTTTCATATATTACATTTGTTTTACGTTGAAAATTTTCCCATAGTCATTATCGCTATAATTTTTATAATACACCATTACGTATATTTTTATTGATATAATCTTTCAAATCTAATTCGAGGCTTGAAATGAAATTACGATGCTATTAATATTTTAATTCTTATCATTACAGTTCAGTAACGATAACAATTTTTACCATTTACTATTTGTTATTATAATTGTACGAGTTAAAAAATAATATTATTGATATGGATTTATTATTAATATTATTATTATATATTAATTATTAATATTTATATCTCTTTAATCGAGAAATGAAAAAGGAAAGAAAAATATTGATAAGTTAGGATAAATATGAAGGGAGAAACCATATGAGAGATAAGAAAAGAAGGAAGGACCTTTTAGTTATTTTCGTTTTGACCATCGTCTGCTACCGAGTTTGTAACAAGCAGCTGCATTCCCCACTCCTCTTCATCCACCATCCACCAAAAGAGGTATAGAAAATATTTAACATATAGGAACGCGACGAGGAGCACCTTCCTAATTTTTGGCTCTACCGTCCGTGTTCAATCTCTCTGGTTTTGGAAGCTAACAATACCGCTCTATTTCCTTGACGCTGCTACAATCGTGCAAAGGTAATCCTGTTAGATGACGCTTCGTTGGTCAGAAGACGTCCTGCTGAGAATTCGAAGGATACCCGTCTCTTCCTTCGAATTTTTCTTACCGATCAAGACGATTCGTAAAGCGGAAGAATAAGAAAATGAAGAAGAAAAAAAAAAGAAAAAAAAAAAAAAAAAGAAAAAAAAGTAGGAACACAAGAAAAAGAAAAGAAAAAAAAATCGATTTCCTTAAGAAAACAAAAGGAAATTGTACATTTGTTCGTGAAAAAACAAAAATCGATTATTATCAGACATTAAACTTTTTTAAGAAT